ATGGCGCAGGAGAGGAAGGCCCTCTATGAGGTGGATTGATTCAGTGACTGGGATAATTGGGATGGGAGTGTCAAAGACAGTGTGATTGGCACAGGACAGAGCGGAGTTTAGGGCTGTTGTACATAGGGTCGCTATGAGTCGCAGGCGACTCGATGGCATATAACAACAACAACAATTATATACATCACGCCATTTATTCCTAAATATTTCAGTGTGTATTTCCTAAAAGCATTTGTTATATAACCATAGTATAGTCACAAATATCATAAATTTACACTGATAGAGTACTTTCATCTCTTGCCCATTTCCAATTTTGTTAGTTGATCTAAAAGAATGTCCCTCGTTTATAGATTTCTTTTTCTCCCACTAGTAATAGATTCAGTTTACAGTCAAACATTGCATTTAGAGTTAAATTTGTTTGTAGTCTCCTTTAATCTGGATTATATCCATAGCATTTGCTTTTTATGACAACAATATTTTGAAGAATGCAGTTTACTCATCTCTCAACTTTCTTCCCCAGAAACAAGAAGATCTGAGTTTAAGGTTTGGCAAAGAGAAGGGTGAGGGTTTATGGAGGGAGAGCTAGCACACCCAGTCCCAGCAGCCAGCTTCATGAGGACAGAACCTGATTCCAAGGGTCAAAGTTCTTGCTCACACTGGTCTCACAGGAGCTGGCGTGCCAAAATGCACATACAGACAGACACACTCACGTGGAGCCAGGCCCCTGCACAATCAGGGGGCCACACACACAGATGCTCTAGGTGCACACACAGCACATGTATATTCCTAAGGACCTACCTGTATGTATGTATGTTGTGTGGACTCCCAGCTGTACACAGGCTATGAGTATGTATTCTTTATGTCAGCAGTGTGGTTCCTTGCCAGTAGGCCACCAACGCTTCCGCACACAGCAGGTATGTGTTCCCAAGTGTCCATATACATGTATGTTGTATGGACTCTCAGGGACACTCATGCATGTAACACGTATGTGTTCATGAGTGCTGCTGTGTGGATTACCAGGTATGCACATACACATAGTGAGTGTGATCCTGTGTCTGTGTGCACACACGTTGCATGGTCTCCTAGGTGCTGGTGCACAGGTGTGTGTGTGGGGGGGTTTGTTCTTGAGTGTCTACATCCATGTAAGCTGTGTGGACTCCTCAGAGCACACACACAGAAGGTGCTTTTCTTGCAGAGATGCGTGAATGGACATCCTGTTGGTGCCCATGCACACTCCATGCTGTGTGTTTAGGGCTGCATGTGAGGGAGCTGAGCAAGGGCTGCTACCCCATCACGTCTTGCAGAAAGGCCCATATTACTGGCTCATCTCCACACCTGGCATGCTGTGGGCTTCCAGCTGGCCTGATACAAAGCGGCTACTGATGGCGCCCACCGGCTCTGCCTCCACATAGGTGTCCTCCTCTCCTCACAGCAGAAGGGTGCAAACAGCCAGCTCCTGGGGCTCCAACAGGAAGTTCCAGAAGACGTTCTGGTAGTAGTTAAGAGGCCCAGAGAGGCTCCCTGCCTGCATTAAGCTGTAGAATGAAGCTTCAAGCTCATTAGGGGACAAGTATAGGATACCACTCTTGTGGGGGGTGAAGGTGGTCTTCAAGATCTGAAAGTCAGACATGAAGAGTAATTTCTCAGGCAGCCAGGGAAGCTGGAACAGGAATACATAGTTGAACTGGAAAAGCTGGGTGATGTGATGCAGGGAGTAGTCTTGGTACAAAGACATGGGGGCATCACAGGTTATCACCAGGTGCTCTACCAGGGCTGGAAAGTAGATGGAGAAATTCCAGGCTAGCACCACACCCGAGCCATGGCCCACGAGGATGCACCTGGAGTAACCCAGGCCCTGGATGACATCCTGCATGTCCATCATCAGCAGGTCAGTGGTGTAGCAGTCCACTTTCCTTGGGGCATCTGAGGGCCAGTAGTCACACATGTCCACAGTCACAACGTGGAAGTAGCTCTGAACTCCTGGAGCAGGTAGCGCCAAGAGAACCTGCTCGGTGTGCAGGGGGGGGAATGGGAATCTCTACTCATCTCTTTTTTAAAAAGAAGGCTTCTGTTTTAGGTTTAACTGATGCTGCCTTGTGATTAGATGATGGTTATACACTTCCAGGCAGAACACTGCATAGATTGATGCTGTAGTGTCCTCAGAGGATCACATCTGGAGGTACAGATGATGTTCATCTGTCCCTCACTGAGCTCACACAGTCAAGATATTGATCAATTTCTTCACCAGCAATTTCCTTCCTCTTTGTCCTTGCAACTATGAAAGGGTTGACTTAAAATTCCCCCTAGATTTAGCTTCTACAATGATTCTTGCCTGATTCAACCTATACCACAGACTGGCTACAAAATAATGGTTTTCCAACTCCAATTTCTTCACATTTACTCTCAGCAAATTCCTGAAAAGCAAAAGTCCTTCCTTTTCCTATTTCTTTACTGTCATTATGGGATCATGACTTTCTACATCCTACAAGAGTTTATAATTCATTAACCCCATTAATCAATTGCTGTTGAATAGATTCTGACTATACTCTATGTGGTTTCTAAGGTTGTGGATCTTTACAGAAGCAGACTGTCACATTCATCTCCTATGGAGCAGTTGCTATGCTTGAACTGTCAACTTTAAGACAGCATCCAAATGTTTAACTACTGTGTGACCAGGGGTCTTTATGATTCATTATCGTACTTAGGTATTTTGGGTTTTTGAACTGTCTCTTTGACCTGATTCTTGGGTTTATGTGACATTCTCTCATTACTGCTTTGACACTTCTTTACTTTCTGGTAAAATAAGAAATCTCAACTTCATTTTGAATCTATACTGCAAGAAGCTCTGGTTACATTTAGCAAGCAGTAACTTAGAGATTAAGATCTGGGTGTTACATGTGTTCACCGCTAATGAGATATGTTTTGTTTCTTAGCCTTTTGATCAAACAGTGCTAGAACATGTATGTCATGTAAACACACACATGTGTGTATATACTTATACACACATATACATGTTACTATAAATATGTACACACATATTATAATGTACACACATATTGGTTGCAGAAATCATGCATTAATACCTTCAATCAGAATCCAAGTCTTTCTTGCTTTCTTCCACTACATACACAACTTTTTTCCATGTGAGAATTGAGGTTCCCACCAAATCAACATATTTACTAATTTATTCAATTCTATAATACATCTAAATGAATATAAAAATTGCTTCATTTATACTATTACAGTAAGCAAACGTCTTTTTTAAAGAAATAAGGACCTGAATTATTTATCTCCAACCCCAACTCCAATCTTCTTAAGCCTTAAATACTCAATTACTGTTTTCAGAAACTACAAGAATTCATTTTTTTAAAATTTCTTTTTGGTATTACATTTGTTTTTTATCTAATGGAAATTAGAACATTCTATCAACTTGAAATAAAAAAGAAACCGAATCAATAACAATAAGTAATACTAACTTCTCCCGTGCAGCCATAATAGGGGGTCCCCAGCATGAAGACCATACTCCCAGGAGGAAACAAGTCGTCCAGGGTTTTGATACTGGAGAAACGGGAATCGAAGGCACGGATGTCCTATGTCAGAAGAAGAGCATAAAAATTAATCACCATAAACAACACTTCTACATGGATGATCACCTTTTCTGGTGGGATTGTGACTGTGTTATCTGTCTAAGTCGAATGTAAAGATTTCTGTGTAACAGTAATTGCAGAGAAAAGATATTAACTACTTATCATATGCCAGACACTATACAAAGTGCTCACAAAATTTGCTAATTCTAAAGGCAACTCTTTACAAGTACTGTGGTAATATAACAATAGAAACAGACTTTAAAGGAATATCTAACCTGAATCCTTCACAGACCAGGAACCAAGGCAGGGAGGAGTGGGTGTTACCAAGGGTCACAGAGTTGAGATGCCAACTCAGCAATCTGTGCTCTTGGCTCGTTTGAGTATAAAGATATCCCTAAATTACAAGATTACTGAAGGCTCTACAATTTTTTTTTTTATATCCTTGTACCACATTAAGATTACAAGCATAAAAGTGAGTGTCTTCTATTTTTATTCATTTACTGAAACTATTTTTTGTGGTTGTTGTTATGTGCCATTGCATCAGAGCCAACTCACAGCTGCTCCTCAAGAGGGTTTACAGAGGCTGAAAGCCACAGGAGAGGCGACTGCCCATCCTCTCTTGCCCAGCAGCTGGTGGGTTTGAACTGCGCGCTTTTGTTTTGGCAGTTCAACTTCTTACCAGAGTTCCTCTTTGTAGAGAATAAAAATATGAAAATGAAGCCCGTAAGTTAATGTTGGAATTCCAAGTTTTTTATTCTGGAGCGTCAGGTATATGTTAGTTCCAACTTCACTGTACATAACAACAACAACAACAACAACAACATGCACTGCTGAATTAATCTTCTATAAATCAATACTTAGTAAGTCTTCCTTATATAATGCGCAGGGAGCTTTGGTGGCTGAGTGGAAAGAAGTTGCACTGCTAACCCAAAGGCAAGCAGTTTGAATCCACCAGCTGCTCCACAGGCGAAAGACAAGTAATCTCCTCCTGTGCAATTTACTGCCTCTGAAAACCTGCTGGAGGGGATGTATGAGTTGACTCCAACGCGAAGGTCCGTAACAATAAGATATAATGGGCAAAACAGTATACCCAGACAAAACTGAGACGTCTGGGAAAACTTACCTTAACGATGGTTTGATAAACAAAAGGAATAACTTGTTTTGACCATTGTTTCTCTAGTCGAACTTCACCATTTTGACTTATTTGGTATTTACGACCTGTAAGTAATTGAGCATATACAACTGCAGAGGTTTCATTTATTATTATTCCTTTTCTTCTCAGATAACTAAGAGAGAAAAAACAAAGAAACAGGCATGAGTATAGAATATATTCTAGAAATAGGACTTACTCATCATCCAAACTAGTTTCTACCAAATTGTTGTTAAATCCTTAAATAAAGATTAAACACTAGTGAACACTCATGCTAGCAGTTCTCAGTACCCAAGCTAAGACTGTATATTACGTGCATTACTTTGTGGATATCTTTCCCAATGCTTAAGTTATAAAATGGAAATCCAGGGTTCTAAGAAACTCCCATGTTTTATAGCCACACAATGTACTGGGAAGTCTGTCCTTGGAATACAGATTACTTCGGTAAAATGTAAAACTCTTTTCACTTCGTGTCCTTGAATGGGTGACATTAGAAATTGTTTTCTAGTTCACAGAATATACTGGAAATGTCACCTGTGAAGAACACAAAATGTACTTGGATAATATGAAAAACCCTCCTGATGTCATGCATTAAAATGGGAGAGGCCATCCTGTTTTTTTAATTCACATACATATTAGGAAATTTACTATATTGGCAAAAACAAAACATTTTGAAAAAAACATGGAAAACATGATTTCATGTCCTTCAGTGGGAGAAACTGTACATTGCTTATTTTTTATAAAAATAATAATTTAAAACCCCACAAAATGTTGATGTGGAGAAAAAGAAATCCCCCAATGCTGATATGGATATGGAGAAATTGGGGTTTTTTTTTACAGTGCTGGTGAGAATTTAAAATGGAGTAGCCTCAGTGGAAAATAAAACTTTCATGTTGGCAATTCCATTTATAAGTATACACACAAAATTTGAAAGAAGGGACATTTGTACACAAATATTCATACCAGTATAAAAACAACAGCTTATGTGTAGAAGTCACACAAATACCTGTAAAAATGGCACGTCTGACTTCACCATTTTCTTTATGCCACCCCCCACCCCAATGTATTGCACATCATATGAACAGCTCATTTTCTGATCATTTTAAAATATTCTTCAACAAGATTATACCAGCATGTAATAGTAATGATATTTTTCAATCATTTCCATACTCTGTTGGGTCACCTGTTTTTGGGAATGGAAACCAACACGGATGTCACTTGACCAGGCAGCTGGCTTCCACGTTTTTTTGGCATAGACTAGTAAGCATATAGGTTGCATCTGTTTGTTCAAACACCTCAACTGGTTTCCATCAATTCCTGGGATTTTAGTTTTTAACAATTCCTATAGTGCAGCTTGAATTTTCTCCTTCTTTATCATCAAGTCTCAAACATATGCTACTTTCTGAAATGGTTCTGTGTCAACCAGTTCTTTTTGGTATGGTGTCTGTATTCTACCTACTTTTGATGCTTCCCACATCATTCAAGATTTTGCCCACAGAATCCTTCAATACTGTAACTTGAGGTGCGAATTTGTTTTTCAGTTCTTTAAAACCTCTTTGCACATTTTGTTCTAATACTGTGTTGTGTGTTCTTTAGCTGCCCTTTGAAATCTTCTGTTCATCTTTTTACTTTAGTATTTCTTCTTTGTTTTGGCTTTTCTACTCTTGGTACCGGCAGCCAGGAAATTAAAAGATGAACTGCATTGGGAAAGTCTGCTGTCAGGGACCTTTGAAAAGTACTGAAGGATAATGATGTCAGTCTGGAGACTAAGGTGTGCTTGATCCAGGCCATGGTTGTTGCTATTACTTTCTATGCATCAGAAAGCTGGACAATGACTAGGGATGAAAGAAGGAGAATTGATACCTTTGGGTTGTGGTGCTGGAGAAGAGTATTTAATATACCATAGACTGCTAGGAGAATAAGCAAGTTTGTCCTGGAGAAGGTGAAGCCAGGCTGTTCCTTGGAGGCAAGGATTCTGCAGCTTTGTCTGACATACTTTGGACATGCTGCAAGGCAGGATCAGTCCTTGGAGAGGGATGTCAGGCTTGGGAGGTGTAGGGACAGCGCAGGAGAGGAAGATCCTTGATGAGATGGATTGATTAGTGACTGAGGTAATGGTGATAGGTGTGTCAGAGACAGTGAGATTGGCACAGGATAGAGCAGAGTTTTGGGCTATTGCACATAGGGTCGCTACGAGTCACAGGCGACTTGATGGCGCAAAACAACAACAACAACAACAACAATAAAGAACAAGTTTCACAGTTCTCTTCTGACCTCTATTTTGGTTTTTCCTTCTTTTCTTTGTAATGACCTTTCATTTTCTTCATGGATGACATTCTTGATTTCAACCCACAACATGTCTGGTCTTCTGTCATTAATGTTCAGTGTATCAAATCTATTATTGAGATGGTTTTTTATTTGGTTTTCATGGACTTGTTTTTTTCACCCGTTCAGTTTCAATTTGAAATTGATAGTCTGTTCTGCAGTCTGCCTGGCCTTGTTTTTACTGCTTCCCTGTTGATTCTCTCCACATATGTAGTCAGTGAGATTCTTGAGTATTCATCAGGTAAGGTTTATGAGTACAGTAGCCATTTCTGTTTGATTAAAAAAAGGTATTTGCAGTATGACAACAACCTGGAACAAGGGGTGCATCGAGGGGTCTTGTTTTTACTGCTTCCCTGTTGATTCTCTCCACATATGTAGTCAGTGAGATTCTTGAGTATTCATCAGGTAAGGTTTATGAGTACAGTAGCCATTTCTGTTTGATTAAAAAAAGGTATTTGCAGTATGACAACAACCTGGAACAAGGGGTGCATCGAGGGGTGGGCTGGGGAAGGTGAGGTGGGAGAGAAAATGCTCCACAATGAATAAAAATTTTAAAAAGTAATACAATAAAACCCCCTTTAAAGTAAAAATATTTCTCAACAGTCCTCCTACAATAAAACAAGTTTATCTTAACTAGTAAAAAATGTCTCCTTTATGCATTATGCTCTTTGAAGACGTATCTATATGGTATTAAAGTGGCTAGAACACTAGACAGACTGTGTTAGAACCTTAGGGAGCAGTGAATAGGGAACAACTCAGGAAAGCAGTGTGACAATGGATGTATAACTCAAAAAATATAATCACTGTCACTAAATTGTGCACGTAAAATTGGTTGAATTGGTGTATGTTTTGCTGTGTATATTCTCAGAAACAATAAAACAAATAATTTTAAAATAAAAAAGTCATCTGCAATGAATAAATAATTCATTATGCAAATTTCTATCATGAAATCTCAAGCTTCACTTCAGAACTAGGACAACTCTCAGTCTTTGTTTACATTTGTATCCAAGTTATCTATTATTATTATTATTAGGGAACTCTAGTGGTAAGAAACCGTACTGCTATCCCAAACACATGAAGTTCAAATCCATGCTCTGCAGGAGAAGGATGGGCAGTCTCCTGTTGTGTGATTTAAAGTCTCTGAAAACCCACTGGAGAATCAGCTAAGTTTTGGTTCCAGCTTGCTGGCACACAACAATTATTATGAATGCATCCTGATTATTAGTTTGATCAATTTCAGCCTACAAAAGCTGTTAGAAATTCTCAACTTATTCATCTTTATGGTTGGAACACATATTTGAATAGTTTTATTAAATGGTCTTCCTTCTATGCACATGGGTAATATCACTCACAGCATTGTACTCCAAGATAGATCCCAAATTTATTTTTTGAAATCTAACTGCAACATTTTCTCCTTCAATTTGTCATCATCAGTAAAACAAATCATATGACTGATTCAAAATGGCCAATACCAGTCTATCCCAGCTTACTAATGCCTAGGATGTTGATCTGTATTCACTTCTGTACAGAGGGCATAGGCAGCCTGGGGATGGCTGAGCCCGATTTCTATTAACGTCACAAATGGGAACAATCCCCATCAGAAAAGCCACAGTACAAAACTAATTCACATCAGTCATACATGGCCTCCATGCTTCTGTACCTACTTCTACACACTGCAATACTAATTTAGTACAGAGTCTCTGAAATCTGTTGCAATGGTCACACATATCTTACAGAACCATACCCACGGTTATAAGATTTACTAGGGAAATTAACAAGTTACAATTCGGGTGGGCAACAGGATAAAATTCCTCAGTTCAGATAGTTTCTAAAGTGTGGCTGCAAGGCCTCTGACCTTCAGAGTCAGCTTAGGTCAGTGTTACAAAGTTCCCCTGGTCTTGCTAACTGTGGTGTACTCCCTCAGTTCTCCAGCAGGCCTGGGCATGCAGTGGGGCAGAAGTCTGATGTTAGCATGCCCTGTGGGGTATTACTACCAATCAGTTCTGTCTTGTGTAGATCTCAGATTCTCTGCTGAGCTCCTGCTGCTCATATACAGATCCTGATCTGACTAGCACAGGGATCTCTGGCCTTAAAAGACAGACATATGCTGTCATTTTCTGCTTCCTTTTCTTCTTCACTAGTACCTAGTACTTCTTTGCTAGTAAGATTCCCACCTCTCCTGAACAATTTGCTAAATTAAAACTTGGTAGGGTAGGAAAAATGAAAAAATCCCATAATCATTAGTGTATCCAATTTCAAGTTCTCATCCTGTGATGTGGCAAAATTCAAAGTCAGTGGCTAGGAAAGACCTTTTGAGCGATAAACCCAGGATGCCACAATCCCACTGCATTCTGGACAGCTTTCAGCTTTCCAAGAATCGTATTTTTTACATTCCATGTTCCAGTCATTAATACAGATGTGTCACTTAGGGGAGGATTTACCTTAAAGAACCCAGGCATTTACTTTCTCAGCCTATTACAATCTTAATGAGAGTGGTATTAGATCCAAATTTATTTAATTTTCACATGCCACTGCCATTCTATTACTCTGTTTTGGTTTTGCAAAGTCCAGTGTATAGATGAAGGAAGGAAGGCATCATGAGGATAATGGCATGAGGCACAAAGTACCCTGGGAAATTGAGTAACTGGGGTTTAAAGAGGGCCAGCGCCTCCACTATTTGATTGTCACACAGCTTGCCTTTTGAACCCAGCAGAATATAGTTTTTGGGGATGGAGAGAGAGGAAGAAAGGAAGGCTTTCATCTCCATTTTCATAGCTTACATGTGGCCAGGAAATTCAAAGGTCTTATTTCAATAACTCCCAAATTCAAACAACAAATCAATTGTTATACCTAACAGTGACTTTATTTTCATTTTCTTCATGAAGTACATTAATGACAAATTGGGCAAGGCTAAACTGCTTTTAACTAGGTCTTTTAAGCAATAAAATCATTATTTATTTTTTTAAGAACAAAAGATAAAGAGGATGAGTGTATTACATGAGAATCTACTTTTATAATCTTTAATCCTTTTTATGATACTCACTGTTCTGAAATCCCTTGCACTTCTTTTGTCCAGTTGGATTGTTCTTTATCTCCAAGATGGACCACTTTAGATGGTGGGGCAGTTCTTCCCAAATAAAGCTTCTGTGTTCCTGGAAGTTCTTCCAAATAAAACCTTAAAAATGAAAAGAAAATTTATATTACCTCAATATAATATGGCTTATGTAGACAGAGTACTAACAATGAGAGTCTTCAACATGAGAAAAATTTCTGTAAGGAGGAGAAATCAGAAAACGGGGACCTACTAAAAATGAACTCCACCAATATATTTCTCCAAAAGAGTAAAAAAGAGAATCTATAGACTGGGAAAAAATACTTGGCAATGCCACATTTGACAAGGGGTTTCATCTCTAGAATTTAAAGAAAACTCCCAACAACCCCACAAACAAACCTGAAACAATCCAATTAAAAAATGGGCGGAGGATGAGATCAGACGGAAGGCCAACAACACATGAAGAAGTGCTAGAGATCAGTAGCTGTTCTATTTCTCCCTCTCTCACATTGCCGCCGAGCAGGAACTAGCTCATAGGTGACCCAACATTTTGGGTTTCCGAGGCCATAAATCACACAAGAAGAGATTGCCCACCCCTCTCCCAGAATGAGTGGTGGATTTGAATCCCCAGAGAGGTGCGGCCATTGGCTTAATAGTGCAACTTCTTACAGTCCACACCAAGGAGACTGAAAATAGCAGTAAGAATTATCTCACCCCAGGAACAATACAGCAAAGTCAGTAAAGAGCATGACAACAAGTACTAGTAAGAGTGTGGAAAGATTGGAGTTTTCATACACTGCTGGGGAAAACGTACACAGGTGCAACTACTATGGAAAGAAGCTCGGTACGTCCTTAGAACGTTGGAGATAGCAATACTATTTGATTCAGTACTCCCATTATGTGGTATATATCCCAAAGAAATAAGCTGCAACACAAAATGACACATTCACATTCATGTTCACTACAACATTATTTACAATAAGGAAAGAGAAGAAAACAAGTGTTCATCACATGACGAACTACTAAAGAAACTATCATCATAGAATAGAGAATTCTGCATGAAAAGAAAGATCAAGAACTCATAACCCAAGAGCAATGATTCTAGTACAAATTACAGTACATGACCACTAATATAAAAACCAAGGAAAAGTTTAAACACAGAAACAGTTAAGTCAGGTGCAGGGAAAGGTAAATACGATAAGTGGTTGATTTATGCTTTATTCTATTACCTAGAAGAAACCTTTCGTGTATGGCTTTTTGGACCTGCTGTGCTACAATGGATTCTTACCTATGACACCAAAATCACTAGCAAGAGAGGGTAAAACAAATAGGACCTTACTGACATGACAACCTTGTCATCTAAGACAGAATTTTATGAGGAAAGTGAAGAGACAAATTACAAATTTTGGGAATCATGAATCACATAAGGACTTAACATTGAGAATATGTATAGGAAGACTTCCTAAAAATGAGACAATAAAAATGGGCAACAGTTTTGAATATACATTTCACAAAAGATGTAGAAATGGTCAAAATGCATACAAAATGATGCTCAACATAACTTTGTGAGATGCCATTTCATTCCAAGATGACATGAATCATTTCACTCTAAAGGAGATCCAGTGGCAAAGTGTGTTTTGTGTTGGGTTGGTAATGGAAAGGTAGGCAGTTCAAGTTCACCAGTTAACTAACTGGGAGGGAAAAAGATGTGCGTTCTCCACCCACAATGATTCAGCCCCAGAAAACTATAGAGGGTCACCAGGAGATGGAATTGACGTCAGGGCCGTGGAGTTCTGAGGTGAAGATGCTAAGATAAACGTTGCTTTGTGCTATCAAGGGTGAACTGAGGCGAGGCTGACTCTCAGAGGGCTTCCAGGGACTTTAAATCACACGGGAGGAGACTGCCCACCTTTCTCCCGAGGAGCAACTGGTGGATTCAAATTACCGGAAGGTCTACCATAGGAGAAATGGAAAAATAAAGAGTGGAAATAATCCTGGTAAAGCATGTAGAGAAAATGGAATCTTTACCCACTACTGGTGGGAATGGAAAATGGTTTTATCCACCGTAGATCCTCCAAAGGGCAAACAGAGGACCGCCACTTCTGTTAGGAGTCACTGAAGCATGTGCAACCTCTCATGTGATAGGGCAGAATCATTCCTAGGGTCACCTAAATGACAGTCTTTTACAGGAATATAGGCCAGGTCTCTTCTCCCAAAGAATTGCTGGGTGCAATTATATTCCTAGTTATATACTTAGGAACCTTGGAAGCAGTAACAGCAAATGCACACCAATATTCACCCCAGCATTATTCACAATAGCCCAAAGGTAGAAGCCAACATAAAATGTCCACCAACGATGAAGAGATAAAAAAATGTGGTACATAAACATAACGGGCTGTTAATCACATAAAGAGGAGTGAAGTTTTTATTTAAGATGAATCTTTGAAGACATGCTAAGCAAAGAAAATCAATCATAAAAGGACAGATATTTTATAATGTCACTTAAATATCCATACTTTGTATTTCCATACTTGAAAGTTCTACCTAGGTTGCCCTTTCTGTTAGTCTGCATGTGTTCTGTTTTGCATAGGGTTTTCAGAGGCCTGCTATTTCAGAAGTGGGTGGCCAATCCTTCTTCCTTG